GCAAAGATTTTTACATCTTTTGCAATATGTTATTGAACTAAATAAACATCATATACAATGACACAACCCCACATAAATCGAACTCTTACAGAGGAATTTTAATTCTGTTGAACTATCAGGTCCAAATTCTAGGGGCCAGCCTTAAAGACTGCAGCATGCCCCATCCAAATGGAGGAACTGCAGCAGAGACATGAGCAGAGAAAGTCCTATATCCCCACAGCAATGATCACAGTGCTTGTACTTGGTAGCTGTCTAATAAATATGCATCTTTTCATTCAGAAAACAAGATGTTAGACAAAGAGTAATATTAACACCACTAGCTGGCATCTGAATTGTATTTCTGCAACCCCATGTATGAGTGGGTACACATAATCCTCACTACTTACACTGAGTATAATTTTGGAAGTTGTGAGCATAAGTGAGGTGACATCTGGAAAGGGCACTGCAGTTGCTCCAAGAGACGATCTGATGAAACCATGGTACATGAAATGAGCTAATTTGCAGATACATAGCTTTCTCTTTCCAGTTTTACTTACTCTCAGATTTTATTTGGGGCTTTTGCCCACCTTCATAAATTATATAAATACACTGAATTAGTGTGGTCTTCCTAAATCTTAAGCCAGGCAAAGAGGAGAAAGAAAGAGAGAAGGAGAGTATCGGTAAACTACCAACAGAGTTCCAATTCTGTGTTAAGGGTTTTATTAGGCACTGTATATACAATCCATTTATTCACTCATCAGAGAAGCTCTTTGAGTGATTGATTATCCCTATGTTACAGATTACGTAACATGAGCTCTAAGAAATTAGGTATCAAACCCGAAGTCTATTGCTGACTTATTATAATTAACACTACTAATTATATTATAATATAATTAGCTCCAAGCCAGGGCTTGTTCCTACATTGTCTTGCCATCATGATATCTAACTTAGCCTTTTAATTCTGATCTGTCCCCTGCATGTAACTCAGGGTGACAATTATGACCTATGCTGTTATAAATAAAAATCCTGTTGATACAAATTCCAAGTTTAACTCAATTCTAGTCAATAACTTCATTGTAGACTGGAGTTTTCTGAAGCCAACAAACCATGTAACAATCTGCATACTCCCACAGAAAATTCTAAGATGTTCAAGTCTTTCTTGTATTTCCTGGATACCCAATGCCAAAGGACTCAGGTCAAACATTTATTTTTCAGAAGTTTAAAATTATACCTTCAACAGATGATTCAATTACTTCTTACACATGCATACATGCTGATATGCACATATGCACGTACACACACATACAATCCCACAAGTAACTAAGAATGTACCACAGAAATTACTGAGATGAGGTATAGTCAACCCACCTGGGAAAACACCCAAACTATAAAACAAATACTGACCATTCATCATAAAGAAAAGACCAGTTCTGCTTAATATTTTTAAATCATACTGGAAAAATCATTTTATAGTCTTGAACCATATATGAAGTCATCATTACCCACAATACATTTCTAAAGCAATGTGTGATTACACATCATTTTATTCTGCAACATTTCATCACAATCCTCATGACAACACTACAAGAGCACTTACTCCAAACAGATATGAGGAAATCAGAGTTCTGAGACCTTGAGTGACTTAAGGACTATCAAGCAGCATTATCAATGCTTGGCTGATATTTGATTCTCAATCCAGGATTTTCCTTCTCCACATTCTAACCCCTGGCTAAACCCTCCCTCCACCTTAACTATCACTACCCAGTGGTCCCACATGGGGATATAGAAAATTGAGTGAATTGGCTTCGTTTATTGCAATACCCCTGTCCTATTTATACTTCAATTAGCCCATCTTGCTATAAGGGGGACCCTGAGAAGCTGTTTTAAGTGAAGAACAACAATAGCAAGAATGCAAAATGCACCTGTCATCAGAGAATACCTCTCTCATCCCAAGGGTTTGCATTTTCTGCCATAGGCTGAAGCTTTAGCCCTTTAGCATTAGCCCCAATATTAGCAACAGTTCTGGAGCTAATACAAAGCTCCAGGCTGTTGTAATGACTCAGCAATCAAAACTAAGTTCAGTCACCTGGTCCTCACCCACCTCCAGGGCCAAGGCTCCAAGAGCTTGGTTTTGCTCAACTTACAGGGTGATCTTTCTGGCTTCCTTTAAAGGTTTTCAGTGGCTGACTTTCCAGCTGTCAGCTCTGTTTGTTACAGAAGGAAAGAGCCATTCATGTGTTAAGTGCCCTGGGTCTTAAAAACAGAAAACTCACTGGAGAATGTTGGGCCTGGGTGACTCACTTATGCAAAGACCCACAGAAAGGCTGGACAACTGACTGGAACTAAATACAGAAGGAGTTGGAATTTCCTTTATTTTCCCCAAACAAACCAACCCAAGGGATCCCTTTACTAATTAGCTCTTTTCAAAACACAACCCTGCATATATTTCTTCTGGGGAACTTGCGCCTTTTTTGGCAACTCTAACTTTCTACCACTATTGAAATGGAGAGTTCCCTCCCTCCCTTCTCTTTTGAACTCAGTAAGTACGAAAATTAATCCAGCTGAATTCCAAAAGAAAACCATGGATCTGTAGCCAGTTCTGACTGAAAGCTGTTTACCATTGCTCTGACCTGAGCTAATAATAAAGATGCAAAGTTAGAGTTGCTAAAATACCATCACAAACCCTTGAAGTATCAGGAAGATGATTTACCCATTGCAAGAGCTGTAATCAGAAAATCCTGAGTTGGCTTGTACCCCACTTCTTTTATTAGCCTAACATAAGTGATAATGAAAGTGCTATTGCTAGAAGATTCACTTATTACAATTATTAAATCTCAAATACACAAAAAACAAGATGTCATCATTACAAGATGGTGTTGAGAATAATCTGCAATTAATTTTTACCAACATCACGAGCCTAAATATACCCACACTGAGTGAGAATGTGAATGGGAGGAGGAACAGTCAAAATTAAATAGCCTCAAAAAAAAGAGGCACTAATTTGTCAACTTCCAGAATGGCATTTTCAAAAGGCTTCTCTTTATTCAGAACAGTCCTAGAATAAAATAGGCGACATAAAATACTGGGCCTCCATATCTGGTACTGGCTGTCAAATACTGCAGGTTAAGAGCTGACCAGCCTAAGCATGGTGATGGTCCTGGCAAAGTCTGGGGAGCCTCGGCCCCCCGGCGCGTGGAGCTGCAGTGCTCTACTCTCTCCTTAGAACAGTAAATTTTGTGGGGTTTTGTTTATATATTACAGTTGCCTTCAGGTTTCATGGTTTCTCCTGTTTCAAGTAATTAAAAGTGAAAAAACAAAGCCCCTTTCTTGATGAGGAAAGTGTAACTGGAATCTATGAGTAACAGATGGGAATACCCTTAGCAGAAAGAGTTAACAAGAAAGACACATTATAAATTATACTGACAGGAGAGAGTTTTTCCACGGTATTTCCAAGAACACTATGTGGAGTAAGTACCCATTGGTGGGGAGGAGGCTTTTCATAACTCTTCTCCTTGAACTGTGTCTCTAATACCAGCATGAAAAATGTTAGATAGATCGATGGGATAACCCATGGTAATACCTGAGCATAATCTGATCTTTAACTTCTGGGTTTTGTTTTGGTTTTTTTTCTTCTTCTTTTTAGTTCAGGATTTTCAGGAAACCCCTTTAGAGAAAATAGCCTTGATGCTTTGAGCATGACATCTGACATCTCTCAACTTGGATACATCAATAAATATTTGACCTCCACCAATCATCTGAATAAATCTCACATTACAATTTGCACCATTTCTCATTCAAGGCTTGGAGAGAAACACCTGCGTATGCTTCCCCCTGCCTAGTTAACACACCTGTCATCTCTTGCAGGACTGTGTTCACAGTAACAGTCAAGTTGGCTAACATTCCATGAAATATCATCATTCTTTTTAGGATAAACCGCCCATATGCACTGACTGAGGGAGGCTGGAGCTCTATTGCTTCCACTTGGGTCTTAGCATTTTAGAAATTTATTTACAAGTGATTCTCACTTCTTGAGAGAAGCTAAGTGATGTCAATGCAGAGACAAAAATATTCATAGATACTGGAACATGGATGCTATTGCAATAAAATGGTATTTTGCTTTAATTAAATACCATCAGGATAGAAACAGGTAGAATACTACTTGCATTGCACTTTGAAAGAAAAAAAAAAGGCACAGCTAACCACGAGGGAACAAACACTAAAAGGACTGAGTTGCCAAGATGCTTAACTAAAGTCACCTGAATTCCTGATGCTGCCTGCTTGCTTTACAGCCAAGAGTAGACAATTAAGAGCAGTTTGCAACCACACTACTGTCTCTAAGGACCATGTAGGGTAGAGGGATATTCCAAAATGAGAGACACTAGTCTTAATCAGGGAACCCTGCATTCAGAAAGGTTAATGAGATTCAATATCAGGAGAATCAGTGCAAAGAGATAGAGGTTCAAAATACTAAATAATTTTCACTTGGTTTTCATTTGCTCCAATTAAGAGCTGTTGAAACAGCTTTCTGTTTCTTACACATTTGCTACTCTCCAAAGCAGATTTAACTATTCAAAAAAAAAAAAAAAGAGTTACAGAAAAAAAAAGTCTACAATCAAGTTATCATAAAAGTCCTGATTACACCCCAACCCCCACCCCAGTCTCTGAGTAGACACACTTTTGCCTCTAACTCAGCCTCTGCCAGTAGCTTTTTCCCTCTTTTTTTTTTTGCTCAAATTTAGAGTATCTCAAGGAGGGAAAAGGCTGGAATCAATCTTCTCCAGATTTCATACATGCAGAAAACGTTAGATAAATACGTTAGAGGAGGAAGGACGGGGGATGGTTATACAAATGGAAATAATCTAGCATGACAATAACTCCAAAATGCCACACACTGAGTTCTTCCGAGCATTAGGAGCTCTAAAAATATGCTTAAAACTGCATAGGGATTTCCAAAAACAAACAGGCAAGCACAAACATTGCAAGAAAACAAGGACTAACATCTAAGTAGTCCCGTGACTTACCTTCCTATGGATCCTCAAAGTTCACCAAGCAGAATTTAAAATCCTCTAGCTTGTCTTGCACTACTCTTTTTTTTTTTTAAGTCACATAGGAGAAAAAGAATCAGTTTTCAAAGATTCCATTTATCTAATCCTCCAAGCACAAGCAAAAAACGTGTCCGAGAGACTCCACCAAAAAGTAAGCCAAAAACTCATCAAAGGCAAAAAAGAGGAAGGGGGAGTGGGGAAGGATGGGGGTGATGAAGGCTGGGGCTCTGTAGCGTAAGCCCAAGTAACCCAGAGAATATGTTCATGCGATTGAAATCTCCTATTGTGCGATATACCTGCTTCGTTTGTCACCGGAACACACACACTCGCCGACACTCGTACGTTCTCTTTCTTGCAAAAGCAGACACCCACACTCACACACACACACAGGCCAGTGTGATGAAAACTGTCAGTAATAGCCGCTGTGTGCTGCAGATGGTACAGCTCACTGTTACCTTCCCAGATCGGTGTAGGATCAAAAGAACATTCAAAATCAGGGGAGCCCCCAGGACTAGGTAGAATCCTCTCCCCCAGACAGATTCATCAAGCCGGGAGCGGGTCAGTCAGAAGAGGTGTCTGTTTGCAGGGTGCCCGGGATTATGGCAAGGTTATTAATCCTGATGTGCAGCATCCCCACCCCCATTCGGCAGCCTGCATTGAGATGATTGCCAGAGCTGTGTCTGTCCCTGTTCTACTGCATTTTGCTCAGCCCTCTGATGCTGCAAGTGAGACACGGTGGAGGCAAGAATACTAATAAGGTGGTTAGCTACAGTTCCTTCAAGGCAGTTGGCATGCAGTACAGTAAATGTGTACTTCCCAATGCTGTGTGTGTGTGCCTGCGTGTCTGCAGCGAGGGCAGTGGATCCATCTCCGGCCAGAAGGGAAGATGGTTTGTATCCTGCCTGGGAGAACTATATCACTGGAATCATTACTGTCCTGCAACGACATTGTGTATGACACTATTTTGTTTAGGATTTTAAAAGGGGACAGGAGTGGTGGTAATGGTTTAGAAACCTAGAGCTGGCATTTGAATGAGGAAAACAAATGTCCAAGGAGACAAATTAGCTTTATAAATAAGCTCCAAAGAGACCAAGGCAAAATTTTAACATGCCGTTGTCCTGGCTGTTAAATGGAAATATAAAGCAATTTCAAAAACCAGCTCCAGCTGATAAATCTTGAAGCTGGCAACAAGTATCTGAATTTGAGTGACGCGACTGGGGAGAGATGGATCCTGGTGATGTGAAAAGTTTTCTCATGCATTCTGCTTCGTGGCCATGCACCCAGTGGGTGCAAGGATTGTTCTTTTAAGTATGGATTTAGACTCTATCCGCACAACTGTACTCTGGTGCAGTTTTTAATCACATAACTATCAAATTGTAGAGAATGTTTGAGTGGCATTTATGTCACTAGAGGGATTGGCTGACAAATTGCCAATAGTAAGTATTACCCACCTATAACACTTTTACATGGGATGAGTTTGGAGTTTTCAGGGAAACAAGTTTTATCTCTCTTAGTACCAGGCAATGAAAGAAAATATACTAAGTTAATAATTCCTCAGCCTCTAGAGGGATAAATTTTCCTCTTTTATGATTGTGTCTCATATTACAATAGCTCATCTTTAGTCAAGGAGACTTGCTGAGTTCATTAAGGTGAACTGGTATTACCTGAATATGTACGTATTGAACAGTTGGAGAAGGCAGATGAGGGTGAATTATGGAACACTGCAATATCAGGTATTGCCAGCAGATGTCTCAAAAGAGAATATACAGGTAAAACAATTTAATCAACAACTGCAACCATTTAATCTAATTTAGTTAAACATTTCAATCATGTTTATAACAATCTGAAATCCTAAATTTTTACAAAATGTAGAGGTGCAAACAAGAACTTGGAGGACAACTTGACTTTTCTCTCCCCTAATGACCCTTTCAAATCACTATTATATATAACTCCAGTAGATTATGTTATTAATATTGGAGAAAAAAAACCTTCACTACTGATGAACATTGGGTTTGCATCTAACATTTCTAGGAGCTATGATTTATTCTATTGAATAGAACATTTAAATATCTTCTTGTCTGTAATAGAGAAGCTACTAAACTACAAAATAGGTAAGTGAGAGGAAGAAGTTGGGTGATCAAAGTTAATACAAAAATGTTCAAGATTTCTATTTAAAAGTAAATTCTGTTTCATCCTAATTATATCTATTAAAAAACAGTTCAAAGGAATTATTCATGTTCGGAGGTTGAACATTGTTAACAAACAGTGGCACAGACAAAATATATAAAGAATTTTGATTGATGATCATCAATTCCACTTAGTTAATATGGGAAGTTTTAAAAACCTAGGGTATCATCTTAGCCTTTATCTAAATGTAATTAATTAATACCCACTAATCCCAGCCTTAATTAGCCTGAATGTCCATAAAAGATAGTTAAATTTTGGGCTTTAGAGTCCAGGCAGACCTAGATTGAAATTTCAGTTCTGCCTTATATCAGGTCATCTCTGCAAGTCTCTCATTTTTTCTTCCTTTCACTTGCAATCAGGACATTAATACATACCTAATAAGATTATTGTGAAGACTGGAATTAATTTATATTTATTATGTGTTTAGCCTATTCTTGACACATAATAAGTGATCTATAACTATGTCTTATAAATAAATTAGACATTTGTTTCTTACTATGTTAGTTCTGCCTTTGTTGGCCACCAGGTAAAATAAGTGGATTCATTTAAACAATCCTTTTGCCTTTAAATATTTTGCCAAGGAAACAGAAGAGCAAATCACAACCACTATTATATCAAAACTTCAGGAGTTTTCTCAGGTGGAACCTGAAACTGGACCTGGTACACAGAGGGAAAGTAGAGTCCGAAGAGAGAGGCACACCATTCCAGATTGGTAGGTGGCAGTTTTACAAGCAAGGGAACTTAACCTATGAGGTCTGTTTTGAGTGACTGCAAAACAAAAAGGGCCTGCACCCTCTGGCCAGCATGTTAAAGTTTATAGTGGCCTTAACTGGGTTCATCAGGTATACATTCCAGATGATCTCAATAACACATTACTGCCTCAAGGCTACATCCAAGTAATGGCACCACATGTGGGGACGATGGGCTGAACATAAATTTCAAGGACAGAGGAGCCAGTAATGACCTTCTAATTGCCTGGCCCAACTCAGGAGTCAATTAGAGGTCACATCCTCTCAATGAGCTCCTCCCACAACCACAGGGCATAGGTTACATAAAGATTCCTTTTCGGTCTCTTGCAAAGTTGTGTCAAATGAAAATTGAGAGAGATATAAAATTAAACGGCTCACAGATATGCCATTTGATCTTTAGCATCCTAAGGATCTACAGTAGGTTGAACAGTATTTCTATTGAAGTAGAAGAAAAGTTTTGAAATCTGATTTCTGTTTAACATTAAATGTCTCCTCTCTTGCTATGAGAAAGCTGAAGTCTCAGCAATAGTACTTAGTTCTACCCTAAAAGGTGTTATGGAGAACTGAGAAATGGTACATATGAATTCCAGGAACACGGGGATCTGTGAGTCCTCCCTTTAAAAAGAAAACACTGCTCTTTTAGCAGATGTTAGTATTAGAACACCTCACCTTTTAAAAAGTGCCCAGGTAACCTGGATTAAGAGTGAAGAAATAAACCTAAATCCACATTACTGGAAAATTCTAAATTCTCAGAGTTGATATGGGACAGTGAATCAACAATAGCTACTATGAGCAATAGATAAATGTATGACTTTACTGTAGATCTCTTTTATGTCTTGGGAGTCAATATGGTGTATGAAAGGATCCCTGTCTTGCCAATGGATTTCAGCCCTGGGCAAGTTCACTATGGATTCAATGTGACCAAAGAAATGACAGTAGAACGTTTTTGGGGTGAAAGGATTATACCCTACTTTATTTCCACGGTGGCAGATCAATCACTAAAATCCCATTCACTCAGAGCGAGTCTGCATGCAGTAAGCCAGTCTCTGCTTCTGGACCTACTCTGCCTGCACAACCGTCCCAGTCTCTGTCCTCGGCACGGCCACCACTCCAACCTCTGCTCTGCTCTCCTGTAGCCTTGCAGCTATGCCACCGTGTTGCCCAGAGCACTGGACAGGGCTCTTCATATAGAGTCAATAACGATATATTGCCCATACCTGTGTAGTAAGCTAGCCAACCAGGGCCAGGTGAGAATCCTGGCCACAGGAACTTTCATTTTATCCACAATCCCACCAGCATTACTATGAGCAAATTCCTCTTGGAATTCTTATGTGAAAATTTCATGGTGAGCGTTTCTTTCACTTACAGCATGCTTGCATTTATTCCCTACATCATGTGCTACAGTGTAGCATGAGAGCAGGAAGTTGGGTATTTGTTCCTTCCTTGGCTTATTGTAAAATTGATTTGTCTGCAATCCAAGTGTTCTGAATTAGTTTACTAGCCTAAACGATTGCATTCTTTTATTCCATCTCTTTAAATTTTCATTAATTACATCTTGAAATTAGCTTGGATATTTTATTTAAACTTGTTGAACTAGTTATTAAGGATAGGACATTATTATGTTTCTCAAATTATAGAAATTGCAAGTTTAAATAACTCAAGCATAAATGTTGAGCTATTTGGATCAATTTCTCTAAAAGGTCTGCCTGGACCTTTGTGATTATTCCCTCTCATCAATCCAAAGAGTAGTTAACCCTATCACTGAATATTTAATGCTCTATTGTTTTATATACATAGTATGTATCTTCAAAGGAACTCTTTGTCTTTTTGTTCCCTAGGGAGAGTTTAACAGCTCTCCCTCCAAATCTCAGCCACAGTTACTAGATAATTTGTTGTTGTTGTTATAATGAAATATGCTCTGCATAACAATTCAGGGGCTTAATGTGTCATGTAATTCTTTGATCGTTGCTCCTCCTTTCAATTTCAGCCTTAAATAAACTAACAATAGCCTATGTATAGATTCACTGATAATTGTTGTGCAATCAAACTACTCCTTTATTAGTTATTTACTAATTCATAATAATTCCTTATTATCCTTTTAATTCTGGATCGATAGTGATCTCATATTTCTGATATTAGAAATTTGTGCATTTGCTCTTTTTTTTTTATCAGTCTGGCTAGAGGTTTATCAATTTTACTGATGCTCTCAAAGAGCCAGCTCTTTGTACAATTGATTTTCTATCTTTGTATTTTATTTCACTGAATTCTGCTTTTAATTATTTATTTTCATCTATTTACTTTGGGTTTCATTTGCTCTAGTTTTTCCACTTGAAATAGAAGCTTACGCCATTGATTTGACGTCATTCTCTAGTGCAAGCTTTTACTGCAATAAATTTGCCTCTTAACAACTTCTTAGGCTACATTGCACAAAATCTGATATATGTGTTTCGTTTTGATTGAGTTCAAAATAATTTTTAATTTTGCTTTTGATTTCTTTTGTAACCCATAGTTTATTTATAAGTGTTATTTAGTTCACAAATACTTGTAGATTTACCAGGTATCTTTCTCTTATTGAATTATAATATTAATTAATTCAGTGTGATCAGAAAACATTCTTTGTTTGATATGAATCCTGTTAAATTTATAGTCTGGTTTTATATGGCCTAATTTGTTAAGTGTTCATGCACTCTTAAAAATAATGCATG